ATTAGCTTTGGGTCGGTAGGACTTTGCCGGTTGGTTGATCTAGTTTGTTTATCGACTTTCAATCCTTGAATAAGGAACTCTATTCAATGAAATGGTTCTATTCTATCGAGTATAGGATGAATCACTGCAGCGCGATAAATAATACATTCCTTGACGAGAGAATCCTTCGAGATTATTGTGAGGCTATATTGCATTGTTAATTATTGGTCCCTAATGAGGAACCTCGAGGGGATCTATGGGATAGTTGTTGATGCCAAAAAACTGGATTCTTTCCTTGAATTTGATCTATCAAGAGGTAGGTTGATGCCCTCGCTCGGCTTTTTGGTAATGGTTCGCTCGAATGCTTATCTGTCTTGCTCTAGTCGGATCGGTTCGGACTCGGATCAATCTTTTTGTCCTTCTCTCCTGGCTCGATTAGCCTTCATCCTTGGCTCATATGATTGCATCCAATGGATAAGTGGGCCTCTTGGTCTCCCGTCGGTTGCATCCAATCGACTATAGTCAATATTTAAACAATTTCGATAGCTTCAATAATTTTTACTAATAGTAGTTCAAATAAAAGCATATTTAAATTAAAATTGACCCATGACAAAGAACATTATAAGGTCATCATAAAAGTTAAGAGCTATTAGAGTCTTGTATTTCATCTCCATGCCATATAAGCCATGTTCAATTGGATCTCATCACATGTAATCAAAAAGTTTTAGATGCATACATTAGTAAGAAAAGGTTTTACAGTGATTAATCACCAGAAAGGAACTCTTAATGACATATCTATACACTGCACATGCAACATGGTACAAGTCATCATGAGAATTTGTAGTAGGCTTAAAAAATTGTTGATCGAAAACCTATGATATGCATACGACTCAAAGCTCGCTTAAGCCTACATCAGTGCTATATATGTAAAGATGAAAATTTACTCATGAAATTCAACATTTCATCACGCTAAGTGAAAAAGAAACAGATGAATGAATGCATCAAACCTTACACGAATCCCCCCAAATCAAAACCGGCATTGCAGCAATGTCTTGATTTATTTACTATACACATTAACAATTCGAAATCGAAAGTGAAACATACAAGCAGAGGAAGATCTCCTGAACAGGGCTGTCAAAACGGCTGTTATCAAAATGACTCGTTGTTTGCGAAATGCTCGTGTTCAGCTCGTTCGCTAAGTTAACAAGCTGAAAATAAACAAATATTTGTTCGTTCATGTTCGGCTCGTTTTGACTCGGAATACTACTAATTAATTATATATATATATATATATATGTATCTTTGATGAGTAGTATTTTCAAAAAATTTAATTGACTAAAAAGGCTACAAAGATTTATAATCAATTAAAAATATTAATTAAGAAAATAGAATAAAAATTATTAAATTAGTTTCAAATGATGTTTTAATATAAACAATTATTTTTAAATCTTACCCAAATCTTTCACATCTTATGACTACGTGATCAGGTTGTCAAAACGACTCTTTGTTCGCGAACGGCTCGTGTTCAGCTCGCTAAGCAAATGAGTCAAACACGAACACACTTTTTGAGCTCGAAATATAAACGAGCTGAGTCTGGGCTCGCTCGTGTTCGGCTCGTTTACACCCCTACTCCTGAATGGGCTTAGCAGTTCGTCGAAGAACCATAGAGGATGGCAATGGCTGAAGGTGATATAATATCGATTATGCAACCAAAATGATCTGATTTTAGTCTGCCAGCCCGAACCCGAACCCGTATAATCCTTTAACATAAATAATACCGGCTATTTGGAGTCAACCTCGTGTCAAATCTGGGTTGATGGTTTGAGGTTTAGCGTATACTTAGGCTGGGCAGGTTATTTTCTGATTAGCGGGTCAACCCAAGCACGACCTCAGAAATTACATGGGTTATGATTTTAACACGAATCCAACCCATAAATTTATAATAAGATTATTTTATTAAATGGGCTTTTTTTATTTTATATATTTTTACCAATCATGCAACGCTTAAATTTATAACATTTTTTATTTTTATTTTATTTATATTATTTGATCTTGTATGCTTTATTTTATAAGATTTAAATTTTAGTATTTTTCTTAAAATAAGCTCGAGCTAAATGCAAACCTAAACGTGAACCACCAATAAATAGACAAATTCATGACTAATAGAACACAACATGATATTCATTTAAATGATAATCATTTAAATTTATTTAAGAATCAATTTTAGAGCAATTAACTACCTTCGAGCTAAATTCAGAGCCCTGATTATAAATGAAAGGAGGGAGAGAGAGAAACCAAGAGAGAGAAACCAAGAGAGTAAATAGGAAACAAAAGCAACAACCATCCTATTCTTAAACCTTCCCAAACTTGCAAATTTTTTACCCTCCACCTCGCCCGCCCCTCCG